CCGCCCCAGAAACCCCCCAATCATTCTCTTTCAACTTGGCCCGTCATTCTCTCTGTCCGTCTGTCTCTGTCTCTATCCAACCCCTCCTGCTCCCTTGTCCTGTCCTTCCCTTCCCTCATCCCCCCTCCTCATCCCCCCTCCCCACCCTCCGTCGTGCCTCTGTGGCTGCTGTTGCTCCTCCACCACTCCAAAGAGGTACCGATGTACGTACATCCGTACCTGGCCTGCCGATTCCTTTCCCTCCCCCGCCTGCCCGTCCCTCCCTTTCCTTACGACTTCGTGAGCAAGGAACGTACCTCCCCGTACCTTACCGTACTGTCGTGCCTTTGGTAGCTGCATGTTCTTCTGCCCCTTCTCCACTGCACTCTCCTCGTTCTAGGCTGTACCCGTTCCCGTATCCAGACCCGTACCGTGCCTCTACGCCCCCCCCCTCGTCTTGCCATATGCCTGCCCACGTCCGCCCTCCCCAGCTATCCAAATATCGACCGCTGGTGCCCTTTCTCCGTCGTTCCTGCTTCTTTGCTCGTGTTCTCTTGCTTTCTTCTCGCAGGCACTCTTTTCTTAAAGCTCCCTGGTTTCGGCCTTCCGACTAACCCTACCTTTTCGTAGCTGACTCCGGCGACACTTATCGACCCGTAAGTATCTCTTCTAACGTTTGGCAACATCTTCGAGCCGGCCGACCTTTTGAGCCCCCCAGGCCCATTGTCTTTCTGCTGTCAACATACCTCCGAGCCTGCTCGAACTCGCGCCCATATTGCTCAGTTTCACTTGCCCAAAACCATCTGCTCATCTGCCTGCCTGCCCACCTGCTCTACCTCGCGCTTGGCTGTTTTACCCCTCGGCGCTTCTGCCAAAGCCTACCTCCGCTTCTGGTTTGCGGTTCTTTCCTACAGCATGATCCGATGCGTACAGAGACGACGAGATGGAGCTTTGAAGGTTGACTTTGGCTACGGCGGTGCAGGAGCTCTCGGTGCACCTTCCAACTCTACCTTCTCGTCTAAACCCACTCGCCCCATCCATTCCTTCGTTCTGAGCCGCCTCTGGCGCCTCCCTTCCCTCACCCTATCTCACTTTCCATATCCCGCCACGTTTCTGTTACCGAAGCATCTCCCCTCCCCAACGCGTTTTTTCCTTCATCCAGTTCTGCCTCTCCAAGCATCACGCTGCTATCGACACGCTGTACTAGATGGCGGCACATAGCGCTAACACTCGCCAGCGGGAGCGATCTCGATCCCCTCGACGCGGACGTTCACGCAGCCCCAATCGCGCCTCAAGACGCCGCTCATTTTCCCCGCGGAGTCGATCCCGCAGTAGAGACGAGTACCGTGGAAGAAGAGATCGTTCACCCATGACTGGCACCGGAGTCCCGTCTGGAGGATCTAGCACTGGGTACGGAGGGGCGCCTCAACATCGATCCTACGAGGAGCGCGCAGCTGCTAGAGAGCAAATGATGAGCAACATTAGGGAGACTTCGCAACAGGACCGACGCGTCTACGTCGGCAATCTTTCCTACGATGTCAAATGGCATCACCTCAAGGACTTCATGCGACAAGGTGAGCACCCTCCCCTCCCATGTGTTTCTGCACCAACAAGACACTGTGTTTCTTCAAAGATGTGACTGTGGTCTTGTGTTGCTCGTTGAACTGGACTAACTGCCTTTCCTAGCCGGAGAAGTTCTCTTCGCCGACGTGCTATTACTTCCAAACGGAATGTCGAAGGTGGGCGTCTACACGTAGTCTATGGCTGGTTTTCTTTTGTGGTCTCTTCCCTCTGGTTATTGATGGAATTGTTGGATTGACGGGTTGGGACGTGTGTCCACGGGTCTATGTAGGGATGCGGGTAAGCTCTTTCATCAATTATCTCTTGTGGGCTCGCGACGCTGACGAAACATGCAGAATTGTGGAATATGCGACGAGGGAGCAAGCCCAGAACGCTGTGGCAACGCTCAGTAACCAGAACCTCATGGGCAGACTTGTCTATGTTCGAGAAGTAAGTCATGACTGGTAGCACTGCTATTGACGAAGCGAAATCCGGGCTGACCCAAAAACTGCAGGATCGCGAGGCTGAGCCTCGCTTCATCGGCGCCACAGCTAACCGCGGCGGTTTTGGCGGAGGCGGTATGAACCCTGGCGGTTTCGGCGGCGGCGGAGGCGGTGGCGGTGGCGGTGGCGGCTACAACGCTGGTGGCAGCCGACAGATTTACGTGGCCAACGTTTGTTCCCATTCCAATCCAGCCTCGGAATGTCGCCATTTGTCAACTAACGAATATCACAGCTCCCCTACACTGTTGGCTGGCAAGACCTCAAGGATCTCTTCAGACAAGCTGGTGAGTTCGCGATTACAACGCAGCCTTGCTCCCATTACTCATGGTCATTAACTTACACTTTGAAAAAAGCTCGTAACGGAGTTGTCATTCGTGCCGATGTTCATCTTGGGCCTGATGGCCGTCCAAAGGGATCAGGGATAGTAGTATTCGAGAACCCTGACGATGCCCGTACTGCTATCCAGCAGTTCAATGGCTATGACTGGCAGGGTCGTCTTCTCGAAGTTCGTGAGGACAGGTTCGCCGGTGCGGGTGGCCCCATGGGTTTTGGCGGTCGTGGCGGTTTCGGCGGTATGCGCGGCGGTTTCGGTGGTGCTTACGGCCGCGGTGGATTCGGTGGTCGTGGCGGCTTCGGCGGTGGCGGCGGCGGCGGCGGCTATGGCCGTGGCGGCTTCTCAGGAGGAGGCGGTGGTGGTGGAGGGGGCTTCGATGCCGGCAACGCAACTTCCGTCCCTCCCAACCCATTTACCGACTTCGCTACTGCCGGAACCGATCGCGGCGAGACGATCTATGTCCGCAACGTGAGTTGACGAATCGTTGTGAATTCGTTGAAATGTCAGTGCTAATAGTTGACAGTTGCCTTGGTCCACCAGCAACGAGGATCTCGTAGAGCTATTCACTACTATTGGAAAGGTTGAACAGGCCGAGATCCAGTACGAGCCCAGCGGGCGCTCGCGTGGTACTGGCGTTGTGCGGTTTGACTCTGCAGACACTGCAGAAACCGCGATTGCCAAATTCCAGGGTTATCAGTACGGTGGCCGTCCTTTGGGCCTGAGCTTCGTCCGCTACCTCAATGCGGCTGGTGGCGGAGATAGCATGGAGACTGACGCGCATGCTGGGTTGACGCAAGACCAAATCATGTAACTTGCCGAATAAGTTTGACACAATTCCGTGTCTAGGTTCGCGATATCGGTCGATAGACCACCCAAAACGGCACATTTCTATACCACACTGCCGGCAAATTGTTCTTGTACCCACTCTCAATCGCAGTCTGCACATTCATTAAATTGTTTTTTACTTGCGCTGCGACGAAAAAAAAAATCATCATTCCGATCCATCAGGTTTTCCAGGCGGGCTGGGCTTTGGTGTGCATGGCTGGTCGAGCATTGAAGGTGTCGGTCGTATTCTACACGACATCTCATATAATGTGGTTCGTTAGCTAGGATGGGTCTTTCGGACTACGTGGATGTCAGTCCAGCTGCTTTGGTGTGCTGGCCCAACTTCGTCTTGATACTGACAACGGACGTTCGTGGAAGTCTCAGTTCGGGCAGAGGCCGAGTCTTTCCCACCAACAAGCAGATAGCCTGTTCAGGGCCCCTTACCTGCAATTTACTTCGAATAGCACATAAACTATGCATGTGACGATGGTTGTTGGAGATCACCAGGTAGAGGGCGATAATGTACAGCCGTTGATTGCATCAGATATTGCAACACAGGTAGAAGACCATAACGTCTCATGAGCAATCGTTGACTCTAGGTCAAACTCGTTCGTAGCAATCTGCTGCTCAAGTTGTCAGGGGCCGTAAGACGATACTCAATGCACAAGCTGAGTTGAAATGCGCTTGGTTCTTGGGAACCCTCTTGTTTGAAGATTACCTGCAGCAATAGATCTGGCACAACCCCAGCCTTCCGGGTCGTCGTCACACTGTGGATGTTTTCCTTCTAGATCATTCCTGTCGGTCAGTTTCCTGCAGTTTGCTACCCCGGAGACTACTTGACGCACCTCTAGTCATCACTCGGTGCGTCACATCCACAGGAACGCCGGCTGGCTGGTTGCATATTCGTTCCATCGGCACCTCCGATCAGCTTCACGGCCTTCTTGCAGCAAGGGAGTGTGCTAACCGCGATTCTCGTTTCGCCAGCCTGCCCACGACTCAATATCACATATAAGCCCGACATTGCCACAATACAAGAGGTTAAGCTTTTGCATGACATCCACAGCATTGGACCTATCAGTATTGCGTACCCAAAAACAAAGAGCAAATGTGCGAGCTTCATCTACACAGGTGCCCAACCTGTGGCGCGAGATGGGTGAGCCGCAAGAAACTAGCAAGTTGTGAAAGCAGCGACCCAACTTCCCGCTGTCCAGAGAGCTTGTGTATGTATGTAGGAAATCCAAAAAGGCCAGGGCGATGTGAGTGCGGAGCATGTACACGAGTCAGGGAGGCACTGGAAGCATTTGATGATGACGCTTATTTCTGCTCTGGATATGGTGCATTGCCCGGTGACTACAGCACTTGTTCATCAGGCAAATAGCGCTGTGGGACATGAAGACGCGAAGTTGGACTCGTAGGATCTGCCATCTGCTTTTCGCAAGAGTATGGCCTTCCGGTTCGCTCCCGACATCTGGCCGAACACGCGGGGGCTATCTGCGTCTGAATGTATATCTGCATGGTAGCAATCCCGGTATGAATACCCTTCAGTAAATGGTCTGTAGAACATACTCGCTTACATCCCATCGTCAGCTGGAGAATTGCAGCCAAAAAAGAAAAGAAAAACAAGGCCGTCAAAACAGTAAGAGGGATTCGGGTTCGCAGTCAGTCCTGTCCGGTCTGACCTTCCTCCATTTTCTTCCTGATCGTCTCCAGCTCGATTTTCACCCGATGGCTATGTTGCGCAGACAGTTCGTGGGGCTATTAGCCCGGGCTGTTGAAGGTTGCTCTAAAGTCGTAATTCGTTAGGATGCAGTAACTGTTGGCGCTCCTCCCTTCTTTCTTCGGGCCTTTGCCTTCTTCTTGCTTCTGTCCCTGGGCTTGAGAGCAGTCATCCCGCTCTTGCATAGGTCGGCATATCGAGCGTAGAAGGCGTCCAAGGCATCAACCTCCACAACAGTTGACAATTTGATCTTTGCATCTCGGTGCATTTTGGATTTGCCGTTGGAGGCGCGGACCAGCACGGGTAAGGGTTTCGTTGGGTTTAGGTCCGGAAACGGATCGGTATCTGTCGCAGCGGGAACATCTTGTCCGTAGGAGACTAAGAACGCCGATGTTAGTGCAATTGTACTCTCCTGTCCCGGGCTCATTTGCATACGTCGCTTCTGAACGAGGAAGATGGAGCCATGGCCTTTGCTCTTGCGCTGCTCGAAAAGGTCGGCTAGCTTGCCGAAGAACTAACTCGGTCAGCTCAGCCTGCGCGTGATGCGGGTGAAGACAAGTTATGAAAAAGAAGAAGAAGAACCAAAAAAAAAAAAAAAAAAAAGGGGGGGGGGGGGGGGGGGAACCGAGACACATACTTCGTCGTGGCTCAAATGACGAGCCATGATCCAGTCTGGGGGCTGCTTGTTGGATGTTGCGTTCTCATCAGCCTTGGGTCCGCAAGAAGAGAGACGTCGTTGAGCATATCAAATGCCCCGCCAAATTGATCTTGTCAAGGACCCCGTGCGCCCAGCCCTGGATTTGCGCCTTGACACCTGGAGCTAGGTGCTTTAAGGTTAGCGCTGTCCGCATCCCTGTCATTCCTTCGCTCGCCAGTCTCCACCGGGTCCGTGCTCCATAGAAAAGTTCCAGGCGACGCTTCATGAAGACTTTGAAAAGAAAGTCAAAATTGTCACATATCTTTTCGCTTTTCCTGCTGCCCTACCTTTGCACTCGATCTTGGCGTCCCTCGTCGTCTTACTTAAAGGACCCAATCTGGTGATTGGCCTCAATCCTGTAAACCCTCCCCGACAATGCCTCCCAAGCAGCTTTCTCTGCCGCCGAAGCTCCTCCAAGAGATTGGGGCTCCGGGCGAGCCCAGTGCCTCTCGATCTCGCGGGCGGTGGAAAAGCCAAGATCAGAACAGGAAGGACCGTCGCAAATTTGAAAGACAGTCCAAGAAGCAGCGCCAATCCCTATTTTTACAGGATTTGCATTCAACCAAACGCCACTATGCACGGGGGCCAGAGAATGAGGATAACGATGACGATGACGACGCTGGTGGTTTGAACGACACAGACCGTCGCGCCGACAGCCACCTACAGACGATAGAACCGCGCGCATCACCGCTGTCTGCCTCCAAGAAGCGCAAGAGGAGCTCTCCCGAGTATGCCGACGATGTCAAGGGCGAACAGCCCGCCATGAAACAACCTTCGCGTGCCGTTCGCGACCGGCTAGCCCAAGACAATGCTGAGATCGAGCAACTTGAACGAAAGTTAGGGCTTAGAAAGGGTCGGAAATCACTGCCCCAGGCCTTTAAAGATGACGGATTGGTGGACCTGCTTGGCGATTTAAGCAACGGCAGCGGCGAGGAGGAGGAAGCGGAGCAGACCAGTGAATACAAGCAATGGCTTGCGCAAAAGCGGAGGAACGCGAACCGATCTCGAAACGATGCGGCATATGTTGCAGAAAGCGGTGAAGATGACAGAGTCTTCGACCAAGGCGACGAGCCGTCGGAGGACGATGATTTGAGCGATTCAGCAGAGGAGAGTGACAAGGATATTAATGATGACGATGCGGAAGGCGTCAACGATGACGACTTGGGTGACCAGCAATCTTTTGTTGGTTTCGGTTCAGATTCGGAGGAGATGCCAACAGCTCCTAGACGGGTCAGGGAAAATCCATATTTGCCACCAGTGGCTGCTGGCACACAGTCCTCAAAGTACACACCGCCATCAATGCGAGCCAGAGTGGGAGGCGACACCAACCTCGAGGCCCAGATTCGCAGAAAGTTGCAGGGTCCCGTCAACAGAGTTGCAGAAGCAAATTTGGTATCGATTGTCGGTGAGATTGAGAAAGTCTACCGTGATTATCCGAGAGGTCATACGAACAGCATTTTGACGGAACTACTGATGGCTCAGATTTGCGACCCCACAAGCAAACCCGACACCCTTTTAGTTCTGTCCGCTGGTTTTGTCGCTGCTCTTTATAAGGTCATCGGCATTGACTTTGCGGCACACTTTCTGACGACATCGGTGGAGCGGTTTCAACAAGAGAGGAAGAAGGCGACGACCGCCGCTAGCCAGCAACAGGTTCCCACAAAAGAGACATCCAACTTGATTACAGTCCTCGCGGAGACGTACATTTTTCGCGTCATTGGCAGCAATCTTATGTTCGACGTTGTGCGGCTTCTACTGGGCGACCTCTCAGAGCTGAACGCTGAGCTCTTGCTGCGGGTCGTTCGCGTAGCTGGGCCCCAGTTGCGAAAAGATGACCCGTTGGCCCTCAAAGACATCGTCAGCCTGATGCGTCCTGCAGTCGCTAAGATTGGGGAGAGTAACGTCACGGTCCGGACGAAATTCATGATCGAGACTATCAGCGACCTCAAGAACAACAAACTGAAGGCCGGCACACAGGACTTGGTCATTCTCAACGACCATGTCACACGCATGAAAAAGGTTCTGGGTTCACTTGATACTCAGAAGCTGAAGGCCACGGAACCACTACGAATTGGCTTACGGGATATCGAAAATGCGGATAAGACCGGCAAATGGTGGCTTGTGGGGGCCAGCTGGGCTGGCGTAGGACCTTCAGAGGCGGACGTCCGGAATACTCGCGGTTTCACGAAGAATACGGACGACGGCCATGACTTTACTGACGAGGGTGACGACCTTGTGGTCGCCGATGCCGACGATCTCATAACCCTCGACTATGCACAGCTTGCGCGAGAACAAGGTATGAATACGGATGTTCGGCGTGCGATTTTCGTTGCCCTCGTTGCGGCAGCTGACTATCAGGACGCATACATGCGCATTCTGAAGCTCAAACTCAACAAGTACAATAAACGCGAGGTGCCGAATGTGCTCATCCAATGCTCTGGAGCGCAGCAGCACTATAACCCTTACTACACCCTTGTAGCTAAGAAGTTCTGTAGTGACTCGCGCATCAAGTACGCGTTCCAAGACACAATATGGACCCTTTTTCGACGGCTCGGCGAGCCGTTATTTGGGCAGGAACCAGAGGATGAGGATGAGGAGGCCACGGACGATCGCAGGCTTATCAACACAGCCAAGATGATGGGCAGCCTGGTTGCTGATGGTTCTGTGAGTCTCGGTGTTCTCAAAGCCCTGAATCTTGCCTACGTAAAGGACACGACAAGTCTTTTCGTCGAAGTGTTGCTCATCACCGTGCTTCAAGAGTGCAGTCGGGCCAAAGACAGGACTCTAGGGCAGGCTCTCGGGGTGGCGTTTAGCAGCGGGCTGGCGCCCGAGCTCGCTCGAAGCATTGCATACTTCTTGCGGGAAAAGGTGCGAGATACAGATCTTGTAGACGGCAAGAAAGACGCCAGGAGGGTGAAATTGGCTTGCAAGGCTGCCGAAGTGCTTTTACGAAGGCCTACAAACGATGATCACAGGTAGATAGAAGAACCAGGGAAGAAAAACAAGAAGAAAAGACGTCAAATCTCAAGCCTCAGAAGGCGGGCGAGTGGACGTGACTTCCGTATGAGCGTGTGCAACAATCGCAGATTGATACGGCAGCGTAGCATAGGTCGCGTGGTGGTGTATCCAGTCCCGCGATGTGTTCCCGAAAAAAAAAAGGCATTTGGAGCCGTTGCGGGTGTTGGATTAAGTGAACCCTGCTAGTAACGTCTAACGGCGGCAATGCTCTTCTAGTAACAAGAAAATTGCTGCAGATCAAAGATGTGGCCTGGACCTCCGTATAGCAAGCCCATGGGCTGGTGTCAGCATGTTCCAGGCTGTTGCTGACATTATTATGCTTCATGGTAATTCTCGTCCTTTAGCCGGGGAATCGGCGCCGTATCCGTGACAGACGCCGAAGTAGGTATGGGCGGAAGGGTAGCCGGGCGGGTTGCGGCTAAGATCGCCTGGACGCGGGAGATGACGGAGGCGTATGATACGGAATGGAGGAGAACGTTGGGAGCCGCGGCCTCTAGATTGCATAGTTTAGCAAGGAGATACCGGGGTTATACGCTTAACACGTATATATGCGACCTCCATCCCTGCAAACCCAACCGCTGGAGACTGGATGCAGGCTACTGGACGTGCCCGCCCCGGCAGACGTAAAATTCAGCACCCCCGTCCCATGATTGATGAGGAAAGCTCCAATTCGATCCGAAGCTTGCCCAACATTAGACTGCGCCGTCCCGTCAATTCAACTATCCCACTCATCCACACACCTTAGGGAACAAGTGTCGCAACAATTTCTTTCCTTCCCTCTCGCACCTCCCCCTCTCGTTCGTTTCCTTCTGAGCTCCTTTCAATTGATCGCCGATTCGCCATCCCGTCTCAGATACCGCCATGCTGTCCAGTCGATTGATACCCCGTACCGCGGCCAAGTCGGCATTCAGGAAACACACCTCGTGAGGCTCCCTCTCTTCTCCGACTTCGCCGTGTGCCTGCATCACCCACGTCACGGTTCATGACGCTCACACTGTCTTCCTCTAGTCTGCCCGCCGTTGTGCCCTCTCAGCTTTCAAGATGGAGTCGAGCCTACGCCTCTGCCTCTGGTGGGTGAAGAATCCTATGCCTGAATGATCTCCTGGAAAGGAACATATAACGTTGCGCCAAAGATGACATCAGCTGACGTCTTTGCGCCCACAGAAGAGAAGGATCTGGTCATCATTGGTGGCGGTGTTGCTGGCTATGTCGCTGCTATCAAGGCTGGCCAAGAGGGCATGAAGGTAACCCGCGTTGCGCGCTGCGCAGTCAAGATATCCGGTTAGCAGTGCGACTGACTGAGATTGTCTTTAGGTCGCCTGCATTGAGAAGCGCGGCACCCTCGGCGGAACCTGTCTTAACGTCGGCTGCATTCCCTCCAAAGCACTTCTCAACAACTCTCACCTCTACCATACCATCAAGCACGACACTAAAAACCGCGGAATCGACGTCGCCGACGTCAAGTTGAACTTGGAGCAGTTCATGAAGGCCAAGGACACTGCAGTTGGTGGCCTCACAAAGGGCGTCGAGTTCCTCTTCAAGAAAAACGGTGTTGAGTACATCAAGGGCTCTGGCTCTTTCGTCAACGAGAACGAGATCAAGGTCGACCTGAATGACGGCGGCGAGACGTCGGTTCGCGGAAAGAATATCCTGATTGCCACTGGAAGTGAGGCGACTCCCTTCCCCGGCTTGGAGATTGATGAGAAGCGTGTGGTCACCAGCACCGGCGCGCTTGCCCTGGAAAAGATACCCGAGTCTCTTGTCGTTATTGGAGGTGGCATTATTGGTTTGGAGATGGCTTCTGTGTGGTCCCGACTGGGAAGCAAGGTGACAGTTGTCGAGTTTCTCAACCAGATCGGTGGCCCCGGAATGGACGCCGAGATCTCAAAGAGCACTCAGAAGATCTTGAAGAAGCAGGGTATCAACTTCAAGACCAGCACCAAAGTCGT